CAGTCTTTGAATCTCGATTCCAAGCAGACTTAAGGTCTGACGTCCCGTACAGACCCAGGCTCTTGAAACACTTGTCCTTCCTGCACGTGAACACTGTTCCGTTTTATCCCTAAGTGCTTTATTGGCCTGAGCTACCTACAGTCCCTACTATACTATACTTGTTTAGTGATGGAATTGGTCAGCAGGCAGGCCTCAGGACCAACTCAAGAACCTGCTCCTAACCACTGCTTAGACTAGTCCAAGAAGATAGAATTCTAGATGACTATTTCCCCAGTGAGCCATTTTCTCACTCCGTTGACAGTTTCAGTGTGAGTATTCACATAGTCTTGACATCAGATACTCTGCTTATACAATTAACACCTTCTCCTCGCTTTTCAAGTTGTGAATTTGGGTTTGCTTTTCATTAGAAACTGTTACCTAGAAACAACATTTTATTACTTCCTATTCCATGATGTCATTTGTGGACAAATTTTAATATTAACCTTTGTTTAATCTGAGAATCCTATGGTAATCACTACAAGTATTTTGTTGTTTAGCCGGGCATGGCAGTGCAGGGTGATTAATGGCTGTAATCCTGTCACTGAGGAGTTAGGCTTCAGGAGTCAGACCCTATAGGAAGATTACCCAAGTGTGAAGCCTGTTGAGTTCCAGCCCAGCTGTAATCAAAATTCTGTAATTAAAGGAAGTTAAAAACATCGTCTGTGCCTGGTGTAGTGGTGCACGACTTAATTCCAGCACTAGGGAGGCAGAGGCAGGCAGGTTTCTAAGTTCAAGGCCAGTCTGGTCTATGGAGGGAGTTTCAGAACAGCCAGGCCTATACAGAGAAACCCTGTCTTGAAAACCCAGAACAATAACAAACAAAACAAAAAGCAACATCATTTGCTTGGACTGCAGTCCTACCACTCAGGGGACTGAGGCAGGAGAGTTACCACAAATTCCAGGCTACCCACTACTGCAAGGCAAAACCCTACCTGGAAAACCAATAAATTGATTAATTCATAGACTGTAGGCTCTGATCAATCACTGAGTTTGGCCCAGTTTCCTATTCTTTAGTTTTAGCACCTGCTGGTTTCTATAATGGTGTTGGGGTTAGGGATGCCATTTGTTTTTGTTTGTTTGTATGTTTGTTTTTTCTTTGTGAGACTAATAGCTTTGCTATTAAGTAACTGCAGTTATTTGTACTTGGTAGAAAACTTACTGGTTTTTAGGAAAATATTAAGATCTGTTAGAATGCCCAGCAGTTCGTATGAGTTAGTCCAACCTGAAGCTCAATTGATTAGATTTCTAAGTATCCAAATGACTACTCTTACATGTTTGGGTTAACCTAAGTGATAAGGAAAGAATTTCTTTTCCCCTTTTTTTTTTTTTTCCCGAGACAGGGTTTCTCTGTGTAGTTTTTTGGTGCCTGTCCTGGATCTCGATCTGTAGACCAGACTGGCCTTGAACTCACAGAGATCCACACCTGACTGCCTCCCGAGTGCTGGGATTAAAGGCGTACGCCACCACTGCCCGGTAAGGATAGAATTGTGATGGCCAAAGGAACACTAAGCGTTATTACACATTGTTTCTGGAAGGCAGATTTCCTGCTGATGAAAGGCAGTGGTTGGAGTTGGCGTGGGGGCCCCTGCAAGAGTCACAGCTGCCAGAGAAATGAGCCTCGTGAGGTAAAAATGAAGCTCTGGTCAGCATGACTTAGCTGGTGCTGGGTCAGCTGCTTCTAGAGTCTGACCAAGGCCGTTCTTTTTCTCACATTTAAACACAGTGAAACTTTGGGGACAAGTTCTATATGACAAGTGTCACAACCCAACAAAGCTTTAGGCATGACTACATCTCTCCAGCCAAGCACTTGTGACCTTAGCCATGAGAATGAACTTTATTGATTGATAAAAGTGTTCTGGATAAGGGCCTAGGGAGGAAGGGCCTGTAATAAGCAGAAAGGTGTGTTCTATTGACTGAGAGGATTGCTCAGGATTTGGGGACTCAGGTGAAGGCTGGCACTGTAGAATAGCCAAGATCACCAGGTTGTTAGCCAACACCCACTCCGGCCTTCCAGGTGAGCAGGCACCGTTTCCTCCCATAAGAAAAAAGGCTGTGTGTTTAACACTTCTGGTCTCTAGTGCTTTCTGTAAGCTGAGACCTCTACAGGTTGGGGCTGGAGAGACGGCTCAGCAGTTCAAAGCCTTGGTTTCTCTTGCAGAGGACTTGGGTTCAGTCCCAGCAGCCTCACGGTACCTCACAACCAACTGTAACTCCAGTTTCCGAGTATATAATGCCATCTTTTGACCTCTAGGCACATGTGTTACATGTACATACATGCAGGCAAAATACTCACACACGGAAAATTAAATCTAAAAAAAAAGGTAGGTCTGTCATTCAGCCCTTTAAGTAATGCAGTTGAGTCTTTGCCCTAGAATGAACTTAACCTCTAATGGATTTTCAGATGTCACAGAACAGACAATCTTCCATGAATGTAGTTTCTCAGCACAGTATAGGGAGACATTGAGAAGTACCAGTTGGAGGTATGAATTGTTGTGGAGTCCTTCAGGGGAACACAGCTGAGTTCTTGATTTCTGTTCAAATCACTCCCTGCAACATTGTTACCAGTGCTTTAACAAGAGTTTTAGGACCTCCTGAGTTTAAGTACTTTTATAATCTGAAATGGCTCCTTTCATTAAATAAAAAAAATCATTGAAGGACGCTTTTAATATTTTAGAAGAAAATTAAAGTGATCATAATCTCTCTTCTAGGAAATAAGATGGTTGGGCAAATGTGTGCCAGCTCTTATAAATGCTGTTAAATTGAGTTGTCTGTCTAGGCCGGTGACCTGGCCTGGTCCTTGCCTGAGTGTGGAGAAGATGGAATCTCTGCTGGTTCACTGCTGCAAGCTTCCTGCCTACTCCCTGTAGGCCTCCACTGGCTCTCTTCCGATTAAAGGAATCTTAACAACCGCATTTCCACTCCCTGTAGAACTAGACTAATGGCGCAAGCAATAATGAGGAATCTTTCACCAAGATTCACTCTAGGAAAGTTCTGTGTTGTCTGAGACACCATTCATAGGACATTAACCAACTTGGGGTTTTCACATCGGCTTTGTTCCTCCAGTCTACCTTTTTAATTTTTTTCCTATTTATTTTATATGTATGAATATTTTGCCTGCGTGTATGTATGTTGTATCACATGTGTGCCTGGTAACTGAGGAGGTCAGAAGAGCGTGTCATATCCTCAAACTGGAGTTATGGACGGTTGTGAGGTCACATTTGGGTGCTAGGAATCAGACCCAGGTCCTCTGCAAAAGCAACAAGTGCTCTAAACCACTGAGCCATCTCTTCAGTCTGCCTTTTTGAACTGTCCTTAAGAGTTGTCAGTGTGCTTTGGGGAGGCTGGCGGCAGGAAAGTGAATGTTTAGTGGGTGAACTGATTCTGAAGAAGGACGTGTGGCGCCACGCTGGCTACATTAGTTTGGGATTTGATTAGTTTCCAGACCTTTTTGCTTATAGTATGTGTATAGTCAGGGTTATCAAGCAGTTTGCTTGCTTGCTTTTTTCCTTAATTGATTACCTAGGAAAAGTATCCCGTGAACAGAGGCTTTAGAGAATCTTCAAGGCCAAGTGTTCCTTTGCTGAGGTTGTGACCCCTGTGGCTGCCTGCTGGTCTCTGAGGTGTGAATGCAGATAGCAGTGCTGTGTACATCTGAGAGGACTGTCAGCTGCTGCAAGCTCTCTACTCTTGTCTTCACTTGGTTGATGTTCTTCCTTAAGTTTCAGTTTGTTCCCTCAAAGCCACCATGGCGCTCCATAGTCCTGTGCACCTGTAGCATGGGTTCATTGCACTGCATTCTTCCATAGTCCTGTGCACCTGTAGCATGGGTTCATTGCACTGCATTCTTCCATAGTCCTGTGCACCTGTAGCATGGGTTCATTGCACTGCATTCTTCCATAGTCCTGTGCACCTGTAGCATGGGTTCATTGCACTGCATTCTTCCATAGTCCCGTGCACCTGTAGCACTGGTTCTTTGCACTGCATTCTTCCATAGTCCCGTGCACCTGTAGCACTGGTTCTTTGCACTGCATTCTTCCATAGTCCTGTGCACCTGTAGCACTGGTTCTTTGCACTGCATTCTTCCATAGTCCTGTGCACCTGTAGCACTGGTTCTTTGCACTGCATTCTTCCATAGTCCTGTGCACCTGTAGCACTGGTTCTTTGCACTGCATTCTTCCATCTGTCCTCTTTCTGTGTCTTGTTTGCAGCAAAGGTGTCTTTTTGAAGAGAAAGTTAGGCTTATCCTCTATGCCTAAGATTCATTTTGTGTGTGTGTGTGTGTGTGTGTGTGTGTGTGTGTGTGTGTGTGTGTGTGTGTGTGTCTGCCTGTGTGGGGGTATGTACACATGAGTGCAGGAGCCCCAGAAGGCTGGAGACAGTAGATGCCCTGGAGCTGAAGTTACAGGTGGTTGTTAGCCACTGGACATAGGTGCAGAAAGAGCAGTACTTGCCATCTCTCCAGCTCCCCATGGTCTTTTTAGTTTGTTTTGTTTTCTTTTTTTTTTTTTGGTTTTTCGAGGCAGGGTTTCTCTGTGTAGCTTTGCGCCTTTCCTGGGACTCACTTGGTAGCCCAGGCTGGCCTCGAACTCACAGAGATCTGCCTGGCTCTGCCTCCCAAGTGGTGGGATTAAAGGCGTGCGCCACCACCGCCCGGCTTGTTTTGTTTTCTAAAACAAGGTCTCATAAACTTGGCTGATCTTGAAGTCTCTATGTAGTTGAGGATGACCTTGAACTTCTGACTTTCCTCCCTCCACTTGGGCAGTATTGGGATTGCTGGTGTGTGTTGCCACACTCAGTTTTTATATGGTGCTGGGGATCAAGCCCAGGGCTTTATGTGTGCCCTCTTCAGCTGAGCAACATCCCCAGCCCCTGACTATCTTTTTTATGTTATCTGTCTCCCCAGTTTCTATAATTGCCCTTCCTCAGAGTTCTTTACTAAGTAACTCTTTTTTATTCCTTAGATTACAGATTCTGCTGGCCATATTCTATATGCCAAAGAGGATGCAACTAAGGGGAAGTTTGCCTTTACCACAGAAGACTATGACATGTTTGAAGTGTGTTTCGAGAGCAAGGGTAAGTAATCACAGTGTTTTCCCTGCACCAGGCCTCCTCGCCAGCTCTGCAGAGCTACCTGCTAGAGTCAGCACTTGATTCATTTGCTTCTTGTTCACTCTAATACAGAGACCCAATGCCTGTAGCTTTTGTGGCATCTTTGAAAAGATTGTCTGGGTGGAATTAAAGGTTGAGGAAGTATAGCACAGAGGATTTGTAGGGCAGTGGAGCCTCCTGTCTGGTACTATATGGTGTGTGTTGGGACATGTATTCCATCTCCTCATGTGCTGTGAATGATAATGTATCAGTGCAGGTTCTAATCTACAGATCACTCCCATAGCAGAGGTCGGTAGTGGAGAGGCTGGCCTGTGTAATGGTAAAGTCCTCTGGAGCTGGAGGGGACTCAGATAGTTTCCACTTAGTTTTGCTTTGAGCCTAAATCTTCTGTCCTAAAATCTGGAAAAAGAAAAAGTAGATTATCTATTTGCCAGGCAAATGCAGAAAGCAAAATAACTAGAAAGGTCTTTCTTTCTTTCTCTCCTTCCTCCCTCCCTCCCTCCCTCCCTCCCTCCCTCCCTCCCTCCCTCCCTCCCTTCCTTCCTTCCTCTCTTTCTTTCTTAGCTTTAAAGATCCTTTAAGGCCTTCAAATTAGCCAAGGAAATGGGATAACTATTCTAACAAGAAATTATAGTTTATACTCCGATCAGCCAGAGGCCTATGTTTTTGTGGTTTTAATTGGGATTGGAAACTGCTAATGCTATATGCTATGACACACAGAAATGGAGACTTTGGTAGACAGGGAATACTCAAGAAGCAGGTGTAGTAACTTGCACCTACAATCCCAGCACTCGGGACACTGAGGCCACAGGATTACTGTGAAATTGAGGCCATCCTGGGCTACAGTGTGAGAATATCTTTAAAAATACAAAAAAAAAAAAAAAAAATTAAAGAGACAGGAGAGAAAAGGTGGGGCTTTGTTGTTTGTTTTTGCCATGGTGGAGATTGCACATGAGATTGCTGGGTGATACTGTCACAGAAATGTATTCCTAGACCAAGAAGGAGCAGATCTGATCACTTAGACAAGCAAGCCTGAGAACTATTTAAGTTTACTTCACTATGTGGCTCAGGGTGGTCTTGAACTCCCAGTGAGCCTTCTGCCTTAGCCTCTTGAGTGCTGGCATGATAAGTGTGTGCCACCATTCCTGCCATCTCGGCCCCCAATGCTAGGATGCTCCCCCACATCAGTCATTAATGAAGAAAATGCCCTACAGACTTACCTAAAGGCAATCTGATGAAGGCATTTTCTCAGTTGAGGTTTCTCTTCCCAGATGAATCTAGATTGTGTCAAGATGACAAAACACTAACCAGGACATCCCCCTCTCAGGTTGGTTTGTTTATTTATAGACTTTATTTTATGTGTATGTACACCACACGCATGCCTGTTGCTGAGAAGGTCAGAAGAGGTCATAGGATCCTCTGGATTTTGAGTTACAGATGGTTGTGAAATACCATGTGGATGCTCGGAACCAAATTCCAGTCCTGTGCAAGAGCAACAAGTCTAACTACTGACCCATCATTCGTGCCTGCCTCTTAGCCTTCTAAATGAGGAGGGAAAGCAAATTTGTACCATAGATTTCAGTGTCACTCTCATGAGTACACAGAGGATTTGCCCAGGCAAAGAGGCTGCTCTGGCTGCTTTGAGTGTAGACTTGTTGGTTTAATATTCAGAAAACACCCCTGGTTGTCTTAGTCTGTTTTGAGTTTGTGGGTTTGGGGTTTGGTTGTGTTTGTTTGTTTGTTTTTTTAATGCTTAAAAATTTTTTTGTGTGTATGGTGTGCGTGTGTGTGTGTGTGTGTGCGCGCGCGCGCGCGCGCGCGCGTGCATACGCCTCTGAGTGTTGGTATGTGTGAGTGCAGGCCCTTGCATACCAGAGCACATATGTGGTCAGAGGACTACCCACTTCAGGGCTTGGTCCTTGCCATCCACCTTGTTTGTTGCTGAAGACAGCAGGCTAGTGACCTGGGAGCTCCTAAGGGTTCTCTTGTCTTGGCCTCCAGTCTCATGCCATAGGAGCACTAGAATTACAGACATGCACAACCATGTCTGGCGTTCACATGGTTCTGGGGACCAAACTCAGGTCTTTTTGCACAGCATCTCTTACTCTGTTCTTCCTCTCGCCTCTGTAGTCTTTCTCTTGCTTGCAGGCTGATCTTTCTGGTCTGTCCAGAGGTTGTTTTTCACTGTCTTGTAAACATACTCAGCCGTGCATGTTTGCCTTGTGTCTATATCCCAGCACTTGGGAAGTGAAGACGGGAGAATCAGGAGGTCACAGTCAGACTTAGTAGCTATGTTGTGAGTGCTAGACTAGCCTGAGCTACATGAGACCCTGTGTTAAAAGAGGGGAGGGTGTTGGAGAAATAGCTTAGTGGTTGAAAGTGTTTGTCCCTCGGCCAGAGGAACTTAGTTTAGTTCCTAGCACCCAGATTGGGTGGCTCAGGACCACTTGTAACTCCAGCTCCAGAGGATCTGACACCCTCTTCTGGCTTCTACAGATATCTTCACATCATACACACACACACACACACACACACACACACACACACACACACACTGTGGCTAAAATGCACAGTACTGTAAAAGTTTAAATCCAAATCATTAGCTCAGATAACCCTAACTGTGGACTGAAGGTAATAGGAGAGGAGAGGTGAGCTCTAGGCTGACCTTGTTAAGCTGCTAGCAAGCATCTGAGGGTGAGCCTGGAGCAAAGCATTCTAGACAAAGGGAAAGCCTGGGCACAGCTTCAGATATGGAATATATGTGTGTGTGTGTGTGTGTGTGTGTGTGTGTGTGTGTGTGTGTGTGTGTGTGTGTAGCTTCACTTTTTAAATTTATGGGAGTCTGTCTGTCTGTCCTCCATTATCATCAGATCATTTGAAAGCAGAGATTGTACCTTTGTAAAGTCTCACTAATGCAGTTCTAGCTCCGAGTGAGCATTCCATCAGTACCGTTGGAGTTGACTTCAGCCAGTTTCAGAAAATGTCTGTCTCTCAGGCAGCAAAGAATATAGTAACATTCTCTGTGGCCAATGACATCAAGAAGCCCATTGCTTAAATGGCACTAAATGTACCTAAGGCTTCTGATTTCATGCAGACAACAGTTTTTCTTTTGTTGTTTTGTTTTGAGATAGGGTTTCTCTGTGTAGCCCTGGCTGTCCTGGATCTCGCTCTGTAGACCAGGCTGGCCTTGAACTCACAGAGATCCGCCTGCCTCTGCCTCCAGAGTGCTGGGATTAAAGGCGTGCATCACCATTCCTGGCTTCATGCAGCAGTTTTTAATTCTATAAATAGGAAAAATCCAGGAAATTATGGACTATTTTCTGGGGTTTGCATCTTTCCCCTTCTGCTTAGTGTCTTAAAATGGGCTAAATCAGATGAATTTTCTCCTGCGAGTGCCGCATTGCTTGGGCCTGTTCTCCCAGATGGCCTTTTCCTTTTCCTTCTAAGAAACATCCCGAGGGTTATACTCAGACTGTAAATTTGGCTTTTTTTTTTTTTTTTTTTTTTTGAGCTTTTCTAACTCTCAAAGGCTTAAGGGGGATATCCCTAAAACTTTTTATTCACCTATTAAAATAGACCCTACTTTGGTCAAAATGTTGGGATCAAAGAGGGGAGTATTAGATAAGACCTACATTGTCAACACAGCGGTTTGTTTTAAGTAATCTAAACTTAGCATACCCTGTAATCCTAAGAGATCCTGACTATCTCTCAGAACGTGACGGTTGTTTCTGAGATGTAGAAATGGGGCCCACTCCTTGTTGACCTGCATGCCACTCAGGTTCATGCTGCTGTGACTTGAGGATCTTGTCCAGGAAGGCTGTTTTCTTTCTCCTAATCTGCCCTCCGGACCAGCTGGAGTCTCCTGTGTCCTGCTGGGAGATGTTTGCCAGCAGCACGCTCTGCTTGTCCCCGGCACCCTGCACAGACCGAAGCTTTGTCTGCGGTGCTGGTGACTGTAGTCCAGGCCAGGACTTTGCTGCTGCAGAGTGGCCGGGAGCAGCTATGACTGTTTCCTTCAATTGAGAAGCTAGGCTTAGGGAGAGAGAGGGTGGCTGGGTGATTTCCCGGAATTTTAAGTATTCTGCACAATGAGTCTTTTGATTTCTTTCTCAGGAACAGGGCGGATACCTGACCAACTCGTGATTCTAGACATGAAGCATGGAGTAGAGGCGAAAAATTATGAAGAGGTATGTACGGCTCTGGCAGACAGAAGAGGGAGTAGCACTGAGAGGTTTGTGTGACCTAATCAGGCCAATGGGCTGCACTTTGCCCAGAAGCTGTGGTTTTCTCAGCAGTCATGTGACAACCAGCTACTGTCCCAGTGATACAAAAGGTTGTAGTAACAGACTTGAACAGTAATCTGGCTGTGATTATAGCCAGTGGACTGAACCAGGTGGCTGTGCAGCTGTGTGTTGGTATGGTAAGGAGTTCAGTCATGCCGTTAGCATTCCGGGGCAGAAGATGCACAAACTATTTTTTTAAACTAGAATTCAGTCAAAAATTAAAAAAAATTTTAAATTCCTACCCTTTCCCATACATACCATAGTAGGTATCAGTCTTAGGGCATAGATTCAGTGCTGTGTAGTCTCCAATAGCTGTGCTGGTTTTGAGAGCCAGTACTAGTCAAAAAATAACTTCCAGTTAAAGTAATTCCAGACTTAAGGAAGAAGGCAAGGTGGTACAAAAAGCTGCAAGGGACAAGAGGCTGTGATGATGAGTAGAAATTTGAAGGAGGCCCTTTGGTGCACACCTCTGATCCTAGCTAGAACTTGGGAGGCAGAGATATGAGGATCACCACAGTGTGAGGCCAGCCTTGGCTACCTGGGAAGTTCTAGGTCAACCTGGGTTATATAGCAAGACCCTGTCTCAAAAAACCAAAAGAAAGACAAATTTTATTCTGGCAGGAAATAGAACAATAGAAATGGATGTTTTGGGATATCCTAAAGAAAAGTTGCTTAAAGTGATTTCAAAGAATTTTTAGGAATGATGAACAGACATTGCTCTGGCAAAACTTTGGAAGGAAATTGTCCTAAAGTGGAAGCATATAGGAAGTGATTGGCCACTTGTGCATCAGGAAGTGCTAGCATAATGATGCTAAGTCCATGGAGCTTTCCTCTTGCTTCTGTTCATGGGTTCAATTGAGTGAAACCAGGGTTTCTTAGAAGCAGTAGATAGAGCAAGCGATACAGTAATGAACAGAAGACAGTTCCCAGTAGAGACTAAATTGCTTGTATCTCCAGGCTCGTTTAATTAAAAGAAAGTAGGAGAGCCTCTTTATTTGATGAGTTTAAAAGTGAAATCTTAAGTCTTCAAGATTCTGAAATAAAATAACACATTTAAACTGCTATTGTGAGATATTAAACACTAAGAAAATTGTGGCATTTTGTTTTGTTTTTGAGACAGGGTTTCTCTGTGTAGCCCTGCCTGTCCTGGAATTTACTCTGTAGACCAGGCTAGCGTCAAACTCAGAGATCTATCTGCCTCTGCTTTCTGAGTGCTAGGATTAAAGGCATGCACCACCACCAAACTGTGGCTATTTTTGCATAATATTTTTTATTCTTTGGGAAATTCATATATGTACATGATGTATTTTAGCCACATCCATCCCTACATGTCTTTTTTTTTTCTGTTTTTTTTTTTTTTTTTTTTTTTTTTTTTTTTTTTTTGGTTTTTCGAGACAGGGTTTCTCGGTGTAGCTTTGTGCCTTTCCTGGATCTTGCTCTGTAGACCAGGCTGGCCTCGAACTCACAAAGATCCGCCTGCCTCTGCCTCCCGAGTGCTGGGATTAAAGGTGTGCGCCACCACCGCCCGACTTTTTTTTCTGTTTTTATTTTATGTGCACTGGTGTTTTGCCTGCATGTATGTCTGTGTGAGGGTGTTGGGTCCCCTGAAACTGGAGTTAGAGACAGTTGTGGTTGCTGGGAATTGAACCCAGGTCCTCTGGAAGAGTAGTCAATACTCTTAACCGCTGAGCCATCTCTCCAGCCTCCCCCCCCCCACACACACACCAAATGTCTTTTATCTTCATGTCTTTGTTATTGTTGTTTTTTGGTTTTTCATCAAAGTTCCACTGAGTCTAGTTAGTGCTGCCCACGTGCACATGGGTGTGGGACCTGAGCAACCTGCCATGGCAACACTCCGAGAACAGTGACTCTCTCCTAGTAGCCATTTACAGCCAGCAGCTTCTCAGCCAGGGTGAGGGCTCTTGAGCCCCAGGCTTGATCTTGTTCAGATCTTGTTCAGCTGCTGCGAGCTCTTCATGTGCGTCAGGGCCACGTCATGTGCAGAAGCCAGCATTTCACAGCAGTCCTCCCTGTCCTGTCCTCGAGAGCTTACGTTCTTTCTGCCCCCTCTGCCCTGATGTCCCCTGAGCCTCAGCGGGGGAATTACAAGAGTCAGTACAGTGTTTTCAGTGCCTCCTTACTGCTGCTGTTTCCACCCATAGATCATTCTCGGAAACAGACATTCATTGCTTCCTACTGTATAACTGTTGTAACTTTGTCCTGTCCTTAAGGCGCATATGTATTCAATAACAGGGCACCTAAAGCCCTATTACACTGCAGACGTTTCATATTCCCCCCAAAACAACTGGCATTACTGTGCCTTTATAAAAAGAATGGTATGGATGCTACTATCATACCACAGGAATTATGCCTGTAATTCCTGACGTTTCCAGTATCTTTAAGTGTTACTAACACTGGGAAAGGAGGTTTTTTTTTTTTTTTTGGGGGGGGGGGGGAACCCTCTGCTTAATATAAGAGGGGAATCCCTAGCGGAAAGGAACTACATCGCTTCCTTTGCCTGCTTCCTGCTTTGGATGTCTGGCATGTCCTAAGCTCTTTACGCACATGATTACCACATAGCTCTAAGGTTCTGCTTCCTAACCACAAACTCTTGCCCACCACTGGCTTTAATGACTTCCCCCTCCCAGCTCCCAACAGCAGAGCAGATTGAGGCAGAGGCAGAGTAGCTATGACAGGCCACAGTCAGTCCTTTTTTGAGTCTGTGGCTAGGCTACTAGACTTGGACCTTGCTTAGCAATAGCTGTGACTTGTCTTGGGCTAATAATACCTGTGATGAAATAAAGATAACAGAAGCATTTTGTTTCCTAGTTAATTGCTGGAGAGCACTGAGCATAGTTAGAGGTTTTGAGACATTTAATTTTAAGCCTTGGAGATAATGGAGACCCTTTATCCCAAAAGGATTTGGACCATTTGGCATCAGGATGGCAGCATATTTCATTTTCTTCACATCCAGCATCTCAAGAATGTGGACTCAGTTCCGAAATCCTGTATTGTCCTGTAAAATCCAGTAATGCATTACTGTTTGAGACAGAGCCTCACCATGTAGCCCAGGCTGGCCTGGAACTCACTATAAAGCCCCAGGCTGAGCTGAAACTGTCAATCCCTTTAATCTCAGCCTCTTCGGATACTAGGACTGCAGGCCTGTATCACCACCACCACAGCCAGCTTAATCAGTGTCTTAATAGTAGGACAGAATAGCACATTAACCTATTTGAAATTTCATGAGGGACTTAATTATTCCTATATAGCCTTAATACAAATGTGGTATTTGAAAGACAGAATACTTGCTGTAATGTAAAGAAGCCTAAAATCTTGCATTTGAATTCATAAGAGGAGAGCTTTTTACACAGAAACAGACGTTTGGTCCCTTGTGTTTTAAGGACTTCTGCAACTGTCTTGCCTCTGCCCCTTAGATGGTGACATCTCTTAGATTCAGTATGTGAATCTAGCCTTTTTGTTTTCTCATTTTTTAAGCAGCTTGTGCTCTGTGAACTGGAGTAGGTGTTTGCTGGGATAGACTCCCTGGTTGTGTAACTGGGGAGATTGTCAGGTTTCACACGGGGACCAAATGGCTGGGGTGCCTATTTAACATATCAAAGCAGACCTGGCCTCCAGGTTCTCCCCAATTTCTCAGACCTTACCTGTTCCAGGGCCCTCCTGGCTGGCATACCCTGCCCTCCACCCTGAATTCTCCAGCCCAGGGGCTGGGCTGCCCTTCCCCCAGCTGTTCTCTATATAATCCAATCATTTTGGTTACCTGGTCCGTTTGTATACTCTGCATCCTGGCTACTGCACCTGCCCCTCCCACCCCCCCAGGGCCCAGCTCAGCCTGGTCATGTTCCCAGATGTCTCTGCCTCTGGCTATGTTCTTCCACATATCTATAGTAAACTTTCTCCCCCATCATACCTAGGAGCAGTCATGTCCTTTCCTTTCCTTTTTCATTCACCTGGTGCCAAAGGCAGTTTTTCATAAAGAAGGAGCCGTGATAAATCCCTAACTCCTGAGCTGTGTATGACCTTTCTTACTGTAGATGTCCATGTTTTCAACATGAGGAAGTCCTGTTTCAGCCAGGTTCCATTAGTCTGCCATTCTATCAGTAGACACTCCAAAAACAGAATTGGGGCCATAGCTGAGACTTCCCAAGGGTTCTGGTTCTCTGAAGGCTGTCAGGAAAGAGGAATTGTGCTTCCATACACCAGTTCCACAGTTAAAGGACAGGCTGTGAGGAAGGCCTCTGAAACGTGGTTGATCAGTGTGCGAGTTTTCCCTCCTTTCTCTGCCCATCCTGGAGTCTGTCAGGTGATCAAAACAGGAACAGATGAGAGCTTTCACAGTTTCCTGCCTGTGGTTGGACTTACTATCTGAATTTGACTTTGACAGTCTCTGGCCTTGTGAGCTGCTGTGAACGGGCGTATGGGCCGTGGACCTCCCCTGGTGCCAGGAGATTGGTGCTTGGATCTGGGTCTTTACCTTTACTTTTTGTTAGCCCCCACATTTATTGCTTTTCCTTTGGAACTTCGGGGAGCTGATTTGGTTTGTTTTTGTTTTTGTGAGGTGGGGCATGGAGGTAGCAAATTAATTTGACTGAATTTGGCTTGTAACAAACTTTTTACATGGGTCTTGAAGTGGTTCGGTTTATTTGTTCTGCTTAGTTTTGCTTCAGTGATAATGGTTTTTTTCTCAGTGCCATTGTAGATAAGTAAGTCGTTGAACTTTTTGGATTCACGTCTTCATCAGAGTGTCGGACATGGATGCAGTTTAGGAAGAGCTTAACTTATTGATGCTCTGAAGGTCATAGACAGGGAAAGACCACATGGCTTTAGTTTTTTCTAAGCCATATGGACTAGTCACGTTATCATGTTAAAGTAGTAGCTATTGTGGG